GATTTTTGAACATTTTTTAAATGCTCAGCAATCTTCTTCATACTATTTTCGTCTGTTATATCAAGTTCATGAGAAGAATGGTGGTATCCTTGCTCTTTTAAATCATTTAAAGCTTTCTTGCCTCTACTTTCGTCTCTTGCGGTGAGATAAACGTATTTCTGAGTCAAAACGATAAAAAGATATGGGCAAATTTAGATTTTCGAAAGTTTGTAAGTACCACAATTTACCTTCATTTTCAACATTTTTATTTTTCGGAATTTTCCCTTTACTTGTACTGTAAGACCTTGCTTTTAACCAAAATTGACAATTCTAAGTCAACCGGAAGCACCCTAAAGGTTTTGGATCGAAAACCGAACCGAAACCGAAACGAAAAATATGATAGTTCCCGTTGACCTAGAATCACTTAATTTGGCAAAAAGCAAGGTCTTGCAGCACAAATAAAGGAAAAATTCCAAAAAATAAAAAAAAGTTGAAAATTAAAGTTAAACAGATATCCTGCAAATTTGTACGGAACCCTCGGTGGGCGAGTCCGAATCGCACTTGTTCGTAATATTTTTATACTAAGCTAGCAACATTAGTGTGTATGACTAGATGTTTGACAGTAGCCGATAAACTAAGCGACCTTTTTTTGGGACTTCAATTAAATAGAAATAAAACAAATATCGACACGGATTTATTTTATTTGATTAATATGACATGCACTATGCATTTAGTAATGACACATCAAGTTTGATTACAATTACAAATATGATTTTATAATCTACTCCATAGCTTTATATAGACAAATATCATCAAAGTTCATTATAAAATATCATAACAAGTACTTAAGTATAGCTAAAATAAAGACAAATCTAAAATATCGTAAAACTAAATTAAAATAAATAATGAAAATTAAGGAACTTTCATACACAGCGTAAATATCAGTCAAGCGTCTCTACGTTTACTTTTAATATGAATATATATGTACTAATATATTTTTTTTTTCATTAAAATTCGGCGAAAATCTTATTTCTATCTAATAGAAATAAAGTGGGAAGCGTATATTCGCTATATACATTTATACTTAGTATTTAAGTTGAGACGTATTCTAACATCATATTTTTACACGTTTAAAGGAACATTACATAGAATATCCTACACATGGCTTACATAGTAGGTAAAATTAGAAATAAATATAAAATAATGATATTTTATAATGGCAACTGTTTATCATTATTGTTATTCAATCAAAATGACAGTTACTTTTAAAAAAAGACAACTGACAACTAAGACAACTTTAAAATGTTGCTATACTCATTAAATAAATGCATTTAGTATAATATTCTCAATCAATACTACCTATTTAACATTAATACACATATTAAAATATATTATAATAAGTTATAATTAAGATCTTGCAATGGCGTATAATTCAAATAAGTGAAAATAATCTTTAATCTTTAATTAAGTAAATATTAGTAATCTGATATGTACTTAAGTAACATAAAGAAAAGAGGTGTTTTACCATCGCCAAAGAATGCTAACGATTTAACATTAAGTAAATTCTGTTCAAGCACAAACCCATTTGTTATAAAAATTAAATAAGTAATTTTACAATTATTTTTTTAATTTTGTAAAAAATATTAAAGAGCCACTCGATCTCTAGTACCATATATCCCTACTAAATAAAGCTTACCTAACAATGATCGTAACACGTCTAATTTTTAATTCTAATATTAAGGTATTACGAAAAAACCTAAATTCGAATCTTTGACAGATACACTCTGTAATCATTTATCTAGATAAAAGATAAATGAATATTTCAATCGAGAAATAACAAATATTATTAACATAAACCATTTGTGTTACTTAAATGTCTTTTTAGAATAAATAATAACATAATGATATCGTCTTATTTTATTCTATGACTAAGTATGAAATACTGTTAAGTGGTCAAAGGTTCTTAGGGATATAGTATTAAATAAATAAGGTATTCATATTTGTTCTAAACATGAATATGACTTAAAATAGTACTATGGTTAGTTTTTTTTTTAATCTTACCACTAAAGTCAAATGACACTAAGATAACATAATTTTATTATTAGAAAAGTTATTTTTGCACATTATTTCTTATATATAAAACATGTACGTAGCATGCTTGTTTACAGCCTTAAAACCTTTATTTTAATATAAATATTGAGGAAACACAAGCGAAAATATGTACTAGGTTAAATAATTTGTAAATTTTCTGTCTTATGTTAATAAGCCCATCCGGTGGATACAAGGGTCAGTAATTTAGGGACGAGAGTCTATAAAATATATTTTAATTCATCACACTGTTTTTCAAACAATATCCATCTTTTGGGAATAGTTCGTCTAAAATATGCTTAACAGTCTGTATTTATCGTAATAAAATAACACTATTTGCAACTGTGTTAATAAAAGAAATTTACGTTGGGATTCAAATAATAAATCATTGCTTTATTATAATCTATACAGGTAAACAGAATTGAAAAGTCTGTTTGTAAAGTCAAAATAACAGCTTTTTACTAAATGCATATAAAATTATATACGGTACTTGTAAGATACTAAAACACATTTTTAAAATTTTTTGTCTGTCCGTCTGTTTGTTACGTCTAATCTCTGAAACGGTTGTAATTATATTATGTGTGATTATGACGGTAATTTCACTTGCAGATAGCTGATATTATAAGGGGTAACTTAGGCTACTTATATTTTAGAAAGATAATTAGGATTTCGCTCAAAAATATTAAAACGTACCTAACGCACCCGAGAAAAGCGAGAGTAAATCGCTATTTAAGTACTAAAACAGATCATAATTAAAAATATATACAATAAAAATTATACTATACCTATAATAAAATAATATTTTGTAATTTACAAAAATAACTTCTCTAATAAGATACGTCTAGAAATAACACTATTCACTAGAAATAAATACTAATAGCAACATTCAGTCATTAGTCAAAATTCGAAGAGAGTTACAACTACAAATATTCTACAAATAAAATAAAACAAAAATATAAACTTAAAATAAATAAGCGTTTACGTCTAAATAGTGCATTGTCTTAAACATCAACTTACACAATATGGCTAATGTAAAACGATATATTATCATTTTCATAATAATAAATAAACTTTAAATTAAAAATTAAAATAATATTAAATAATTGACAAGTGATAGTTCAAACACTGTTCTGAACTTATGTATGGAAAATGTAATAAAAATAAAATTATATATGTAGGTATTAATAGAAGATTTTCATCTCCAGATTAAAAATACAAATAGGGAGCAATATATAAAATATTTCGTCAATATTATGTAACATTATTATTAAATATCTTTATATATATAATTCTTCTGTGAGTGTGTATGTCACTGAACTTCTCTCAAACGACTGGACCGATTTTGATGAAATTTTTTGTGTGTGTTCAAGGGGATCTGGGAATGGTTTAGATTCACAATTTGAATAATAATTTTTATCAAAAAAAATATTAAAAAAAGTTTGAAATTTTCAAATTAAAGACGTGTAGACAGGGACAACGTCTGTCGGGTCCGCTAGTATTTAATAAAATTTTAAAAATTGCAAGTGAGAACAAAAAATTGCAAGTGCGAATAATCCTTTGATAATCAATATAAGTACGAGTAGAAGATGCAGATGTCATGATTATGACATTTTATAATATTTTTAGCCAAAATGGAGAAGTTTCAGGATCTTGTAAACATCATATTTAATGCAATACAATTATAATACAGGTAAAAACTAATAAATAAGTGTTTTTTTTTAAATCTATCAATAAATGACTGAGAAATTAATTAAAATATCGGTCGTTAATTTAAAGTTTCATAACTTTTTCATTTGTTGAGATATTTTAATAATTCTTGCATATCTTTGTTAAATTTAACTAATTTTTTTTTATAATTAAAACAAAAATAAAATGCGAAACTTATCCATTATGAAATATACTAAAGTAAGAGATCCATTTAAATAAATACAGATTAAAAATTAAAAATTTACAATATCCGTGTATTACACATCATTAGTACTGTTAAATGGGAATGATTTAGTCATGATCCACATTATTAGTATGTGAAATACCTAAATATATTCCAAATCATAAAAACTAATGAGCACAATAAATATATAATTATAAACAAACGTGTTACCTTACACAGTATGGAGAGAAAGTCGAGTGTCGCCGGCTGTAAAAAAAATAAAAAATAAATTTATCGTATCGATGAGTACAAAACTATTTCTAATTATTTTCCTACTTATACAATTTGCATAAAGTGAAGCTTTTCAAAAAATCGATACAATTATAACGAACTATCGAGATAATTATCTCGTCATTAGGAAGTATCAGAAATTGACAAAGTGAAAAGTCACGAAACTTGAAATGAAATAGGTTCGTTTTCATCAATACTATTCACTAAGAAAATGAATACGAAAGATTCTCTCATTAATTTTGTTGATTGTTGATAATTTATAATTGGACACTCGAACACAGCAATGACTTCAATACTTAATCTGGAAAGCTAAGAAATAAATTTTAATGCCTAATAAAACTAAGGTGCACACCGGAAGTTGTCGTCAAGCAAAAATTGAACTCTAATGGTCCGTTTAGACTAAGACACTATACACGGTACACTAAGTGTATACACGGTACAATAAGTGTATACACGGTACAATAAGTGTATACAGCGAGTGTCTCTGTGTGAATGCAAGTGTCTCTAATTGTAACAAATAAACTCTAAACCGACTAATATTTGATGGAAATCAGTTAACGTAATCTATCTGTTGGACGCACGATATATAAAGCCGGTTTCTCAGTGTGAACGCAAATGTCCATAATTTCACAATTTTTTTTTTCCTTATGAATGATTTTTATCGTAAAATAAAAAAAAACATTTAAGCTAGATAAAATGGACTGATCGAAACTTCAAAATCAAGAAGCAGTAGTTCACTTACTATTAATCCTTCAGACGTGAGCGAATTTCATCCTAGAACTTTCCTATAATTCTCTGTATGTAAAGTTCAGAAAATATTTTTAATTTAATGGCGAAACTTTAATATACAAGGCATTAATTATAACATCTATATATATAAAAGAAAGTCGTGTTAGTTACTTCGCTTATAACTCAAGAACGGCTGAACCGATTTAGCTGAAAATTGGCAGGGAGGTAGTTTAGAGCCAGGAGAAGGACATAGGATACTTTTTATCCCGTTCGACCGCGTTCCAATTTTTATGATATTTTAATTTTTGGATTTCTCTTAGTCCGGAATAGGTAAGTATTAAAACATATAATTAAAATGTGAGAAAGAAAGATTTTTTCTTTTTATATCTATTTAAAACGTACCTAGCGACGAACCCGAGCGAAGCGAGGGTGAGCCGCTAGTTTCATATAAACAGAGCTAGATTAAGGATGCAACAGGGGCTTATAAAAATATTTTTGTGTACTTGCTAAGTGAAATGGATCAAATAGACATGGATAATATAGCCAGCATAGAAGGGCTTTAGTCTGCTATCAAAAATTATTCAGACCCTTTGATTCTGTTCTTGGATGTAAGAAATCCAGACGTTTCTTTTTTTGCATCTGTTTTGGACATTACTTGTAATTACAGAAACTACTATTATGACATACGTGCATCACTCATTTTCAATCTTCGTACAAACTGATTAATTTAACAACGAAAAGAATAACGAAGGCAAATTTTTATTAACGTACATATATGTATAGACTTATATAGAGAACCCCTATTATTACATATATACAAATTCAACGCCTGAAATGATAAAAACATATAATAATTTATATTAAAGAAAAAATCTAACAAAAAAATTCTTGAATAGTTCGATATAGATAATAAAATTAAAATACATAACAATATTTTTTGGAAGTAGCAGTACTAGTGAAGCACACACTATCTATATCAATAATTTTATCGATATAATGTATTGTGCCTAACAAAACAAAAATCGCAATGAGAACCAAAATTACTTGAAATTGTAAATAAAATAAATAATAATAAAACGTCAGTCTGGATAACATATAATATGATTTAAGATACTTTATTTCGTCGCTGACAGATAACCTATGAATATTAAACGCATGTAGCAAGCCACATTAGGTCATAAATAATATTGTAGACATGATATTTCATACCCATTGTCATAATATTTTTATTCATTAATCTTTATAAAGCCCGAAGAAATTCATACTAACAATAAAATACAAGTAATTTAAATGTCTCAAATATGAATAATAAAATTAACTACAACTCTGTATTTACAGGAAAATCTATACTTATAATAAAATTCTAACTGAGCCAAATCTGTACATTAAATATTTTTTGGAATATCTTATTGAAATAGTCATTGTTATCGATACAGAGGCCGAATCTATAGTTTTTAGAATTTTCGACTGTCTGTCTGTTACCGTATCACGAGAAAACCACTGGACAGATTTTGATAAAATTTTGTATAATGATAGCTAGTTATGCGGGTCAACATATATGATACTTTTTACTGCGAGAAAATATCTCACCTCTGAGAAATCTATAACTAAGCGTTAAAACGTAACTAATCGCTAGTCCATTATAAATAAGCTATCTAAATAGTTTCAGCAAACGATTATTATATGAAATGTTTATGATGTACGAGTAAAAATGAATATTTACCATGTTTTTAACATATTTCTATGATTTCTAATAATAAAGTTTGTTTCATTAAAAAAGGATACGAAAACATCGTTCGGCGTCCGAAGGGCTCGCGAATCTGACCACAGCGCATCCCGGCGTAGTGAACTCTAGGAACACCACGTGACCCAGTTCAGATAGTTTTTGGCCGAGATTAACGAAATTCGTAGTTGGCGGTAGCTGAAGAAAACATATTTTTTATAATATACTATTCTTTATTGCACTTATATGTAAAATACAGAGATTAACAAACAATAAAATTAGCAAAGATGGACTTATCTCTAGAAGAGATCTCTTCCATAGTATTAAAAAGCAGGCTAAAATGCAGTAACTCATTTAAATTACACACAGCAGTAAATATAAAGAAGAGTTTTTTTTTTCAATTACGAATAAAATTAATGAGAGTCAGTTCTATACTTTTTATACTTTTTGTAGCCAGTAAGTAGTATCTGCATCGGTATCGGTAATACTTTTTTATTAATATCGGTATCAGTGTCGTATCGGCAGAAGTGCGAATCGATGCATCCCTATTAAAAAGTGTAATAAATAAAATGGCTAGCAAAATTTCTACTTACATTGCTTATTTGTAGCGTGACTGGATCATTGCCTTTGAACATTTGTACGTTGCACCCTGCGACAACCGGTTGTGCCATATATGGACCAGAGGGCATAACTGGTCTAATATTAGATACTGGAACATTTTGATTTGGCATCGGTCCATTTGGACCTGGGCCTCTTGGACCCATTTGCACAACCGATCCGACTTGGCCAATTGGTCCGACTTGGCCGACAGGCCCAACGAGACTAATCGGGCCAACAGGTCCACCAGGACCAACTGGTCTAGGACCCAACATTGGACTGACTGGCCCAGGAAAGCGATTAGTAGGGGCTGGTATAGGTATTCTTGGGCTGGGTCCAACCATGGGCCCAACTGGTCTTGGGCCCATGTGACCGCTATGACCCATAGGGCCGATTGGACCAGACATAGGTCCTGGCCTGACCATTGCCTGGCCATTATGGAAGTTCCTCGGGTGGTTTGAATCAATGCCTGGTATAGGCGGGCAGTTTGAAAAAATTATAGCGCCAGGATTAGGGCCCCTTGGTCCTTGCATTGGTCCAAGAATATTTGAGCTATTCACACCCCTGGGCACGATTGGTCCATTCACTCGATTATTGAAGTTCGAGATGGGGTTATTATGAAATTGGGGCCTAGTGTTAATTGGGGTGCTTCGTGGCCTAGGTGGTCTTTGGCCTATGGGTCCAAATTGACTCGCTTGTACATTTCGCGCATTGGGTGAAGATTCTCTGCTTCGATCGGACGTATTATCCTCATTACTGGGACTGTTATTTACTGGACGGGCGTAAGAACTGTCTTCGTCTACGGTAACCCCAAGTTTATCAAGCAAATCCGGATGAAATAAATAAGCGTTTATGGATGAATTTTTGCCTTCCACAAAATTTTTGTATTGTTCCGCCAAATCTGGTAAAGGTTTCCCAAATTTTCCCAACCCTGGACCCACATCAGCTAAGCCTTTGGGCAAAAACGTTTTCATATCAACTTCATTATTCATAGTCAATTTTAATGGCTTCCCGTAAAACTTTTGGCCGTTAAGCATTGATATCGCCTGAAAAGTTTATATTGGTTCAAGAGAACATCTTCATATTTGTATACACATATTTTTTAATAAACGAATCAATTATAGAAAAAGCTAAGTAGGAAATGAAAATACAGTTCAACTTAATATCAACATCTATCTACTTCAATTTTATTATTATCGATAAATTACCTTTCAAGTCTTTTCTAAAAAAAATATAGCCATATTTTACAAAACAATGAGCCTCTTAAATATAAGGGGCAATCGACTTAAAAAAAAAAAAGGCAATTTCTTAATTTAATCAATTCAATTCACATATAATTTAAAAAAAATATATTTTTATGGGCATTACACTGCCATTTGAGCCCTTATATTTAAAAAAATATATATTCATCACAATATCAAAAAAAACTAAAATGAGTATAAAAGACATACCTGTACCGCTTCAAGTGGATGACTGTACATGACATTGGCATATTTTGTGCTTATTGTGACCACGGAGCAAATCAAAACTTTCCCGCATAACTCCAAAACTTCCTTAAGCTCGGACTTATCACAACGGAACTGATGTTTATTAAAGAAAAATATATAAATTTAAAAACAAAAACAGATTACATAACAAAAACACAATTAAATTATCTGGATCATTGACATTATTATTCACACTTGTTAGTTGGCTACCCATCCTGGTCCCTTTTCAACCCTAACCAACGAAATAAATCATAAAACTTTAATTCTCTATCCCACAGGAACCTATACAGAGGATAAAAAACCCACATTTTTTTAATCAATAAAATATTATAACTCCAAATGGATGGATGGATGAATGTTTGTTACTCAATCACACCAGAATAGTTGAACGGATCTAGAAGAAATTTGGCATAGAGATAGATTATAGTCTGGAACAGCACATAAAGTTGCTTTTTACCTCGGAAAATATCCTACAGCATATAGTTCCCGAGGGATAGATTTGTTTTTGTTTTTCATAGAGCAAGGGATCAACTATCTATTCCATATTAACTGTTAAAATGTACCCAGGGACAAACCCGAGCGAAGTAGGGGTAAATCGCTAGTTTATAAATAAATTTAACTTACATTAGTGACTGTCACCCAATTTGTTAGAGGCAGTTTAATCCCAAGTGATTGCAAATAATCTTCCTTCATATGAAATGAATTTTCATCACATTCTATATTTTGAGCATTCCCTGTAGCCTCTTCTGTTTCACCCGAATCTCTATTAAAACACAAACTCTGTTTACTACAAAACAAGTAAACTATATTGAATTAGTAAAATTTAGACATAAAGCCTTCAAATAACCCTTCTTAGTTATACACTAACGCAAACTAAGAAAGGCCATGCTTAATATTATAAATGTGAAAGTTTGTTTGTCCTACTTTCACACCGAAACAGAGTGAAGGATTGGATTTTTTTTTTGAAGATAGTTTGTGGGAGAGTAACATAGGCTACTTTTTACCACGGCAGATTATCTCATTCCTACAGGAAAACACATTATGGTACAAACCACAACATCTCATCAGACCTATGTATATATTTAATGGATAGTCTATATATTCCATACTAACTGTTAAACTAACTAATAATATATCAAAATATACTGTAGCATACAATAAATAGTTGAACAAATACCTTTCACCAATTTGTACGATAGTTTCAGATTCTGCATCACTTTGGGAATCATCATGGACATCTAAAAATTAAAAAGAGCATCTCTTCTTTTCCATAAGAAAATATAGTGTGCAAATTCACATATTGAAAACTCAATTAAAACAGTCAATTTAAAAACATGAAATATGACAATCTCTATAAAAAAATAAAAACATTTATAATATTAAAATAATACCATTAACTACAAATATAACACTAAATGATTGGATATTGTGGAAAAATAACTATTTTTTTTTAATGTAAACAATCAACTGTCAACATAGAACACAAATTATTCAATCCTGATGCTACAAAATGAGATTTTATTTAATTATGGCATATTTTATAGAAACTTACATGGAAATAATGAATACATTTTAAAATATTCTAAAATATTTAATACACAGCAACTACATGTGACAAAAATAGTATTTAAAAACATAAATTCATCTCACCATCCAGTTGAGCTGTAAGTTTTCCTTCTACCTCCTTTTCTTTTAATTTTAAGAAAACCCTATCCAACTGTTCCCTGTTTGTAAACTTCAGCTTTATTTGAAAATATGCTTCAGAATTTGCCTCTCGACTATCATTTATTTTTGATATATGGATTCCACACTACAGCAAGATATGTCAAGTTATGTTATAAATATATTAAAATAAAACCCTAGTAGGTATTTCTAAGCAAGTTTTATTTATTTGTGGACATACTTTCATATTTACCTGACAAAATAAAATTAAATATAGGCAAGTAAAAGAAAACAACAAACATATAAATGAAGCATAACATTATAACTGTTTTTTTAAATATGTGTTAAATATCAGTATTGTGAAATATCATGTTATATTAGAAATATTTAACTATTTTCATTTTTATGTATGTTGTCAAAGTATAAATAAAAGAAGTACCTGTTCTTTAATAAAATCAATTATTTGATTGGAAGTCCATTCACCAGGAGTGTTCGTCACATACAAAGTGAATATGCGTCTTTCTTGTCTATCCTGAGAGTTACTTGTAGACAATACAGGGTTTGAGTTAGCCGAAGATTCTTCATCCTGAGAATTAGAATACCTTCTTCTCTTCACATTTGCTTTTGATGAATTGGATGTGTCACTCATCCTATCCTCCTCCTGTACATTTAAAGAATTTTCTTCAGAACGTTTTCGTTTTTGCCCACTCACTGAACTATCACTCGAATTGTCAACAATTCCGTGTAGATCTGTTTGTGTTAAATGTATTGCCTGATTTGTGATGTCCGCAACTTCTAATGGTTCCTCTTTCAGTTCTGCTTTTATCGTTATTAACTCCAACTGAACCGATTCAAAAAGGTTGTTGTTTTCGTTCGGATCCATATTAATAACAGTAAAATTAGATTCTCTGAACTTTAATAAACCAATGTAGGGATCAAAATATCCGACAGCGTTATTGTTACATTTTAATGCGTAGATAAACAAGAGTGATCTTAAATTAATTAATAAATAAATTTATATCTTAATTAAACAACAAAAATATACTAATTAGTGTATTTCTTTAAAAATGCAAAGCCGCCAATTGCTATTTTATTCACTTTTATTCACTTTTAAAAACATACATGAAAAATTGAGAAATGTCAATCCTGAAAATTTCAAACGTCAAACGTCTTTGTCACTTTTTTTTATTACTTACGTTCAAAACCATGGATCACAAATAAAATTCAAAACTATGAATCATATAGAAGTGCTTATTATTATTTAAAATTAACGGAACGGATTGAGCGGAGGTAGAATTATTTACAGGGGATTCACAGTTTTAACTACTAACTAACCTTTATATGATTAACTTTATAATTTTTATGCATAAAATTTGTAATATTAGTTTTGGGGTTTTTTTTTCGCCTACAATTTCGTTTCTTTAAGTTTTTTTCTATGTCTTCCTACATGGCAAAGACCTGTACGCGACAACGATGTCTGTCTCCACGGCTCTAACAATTTGGATCCAATCTTGTATTTAGATAAGATTTTGTTTTTTAAGTTTATCTATATATGTGTCTTTTCTGAAAAAAACTTAAATTTTCCATTCGATTTGAAAGCTTTTAATCAAATAGAATTATTACAAATAGAGTCACCTTGTTTCATTATAGTAGATTCCAATATAATCGACATGTTACTCTAAAATAAGTAAAACAATGATTTGTTCACGCAATTAAGAACGCTTTTAAATATTTTGAAGTCCGGCAGTATATTTTATATTACCTACCTACAATCCATTAACATACATTTCTAGCATGTAAATATTAACTTGCAATTATTACATTTATAAATATGTACTACAAGCGAAGTGGTAGGCAGTGGTAGCCCAGTGGTAACGCGCTCGCTTGGGAAACCGAGTGAAGCGAGTTCAAATCCCGGGTCTCGCACCTCTGATATTTTCATGTGCGAATCATTTCCAACATTATTACCACTTGTCTTAACGGTGAAGGAAAACATCGTGAGGAAACCTGCATGTCTGAGAGAACCTAGCAAGTTTTCAAAAGACATGTGAAGTCCGCCAATCCGCACTTGGCCAGCGTGGTGGACTATGGCCTGATTCCCCTCGTACTGAAGGGAGGCCCGTGCCCAGCAGTGGGACGTTAAAAAGGGCTGAATACACATACACTACAAACAAAGTACATATTTTTTCTCAAATTTTGTTGGTGGACGGCGTTAATAATTGCGACACAGTTTCTTAACTTCTGCAATTATTATCGTTTATATCTGTTTTTGCTACATATGTACTGAAATTTAAATAAATAACTAATAATAAAACAAAAACCTAGTGTTCGACCGAAGCTTCGGCCTCGGCCACCTTCGCCCAGAAAAACCATCTTGGGCGAAACTGAATCGCTGAAGTTCCTAATGTTTGTAACATGAACGAATTAGTGACTTCGTTCATGGTTTGTAAAGTTGCAAATGTCGAAATTGAACGAACAGTGACGAATGAATGAGCGAGATCGCCTTTAGATAACGAATTATTGACAAGAACTAAGGAGCTGTAAATAAACAAATGTACTTATCTATACTAATATTATAAAGAGGTAAAGTTTGTGATCTTGTGAGTTTGTGGGTTTGTGAGTTTGTGAGTTTGTGACGTTGTAGGGGGTAATCTCTGGATCTACTGAACCGATTTTCAAAATTCTTTTACCAATAGAAAGCCACGTTCTTTCTGAGTGTCATAGGCTATATATTAACCCGAAAAATGAAAAGGCTTTTTCGTGGTAGTCGGATTTGCATAGTAAGTCGGAGAAAAAACGGTCGAACGAAAACGTTTCTTACGAACGCTGCCTTAACGATGAGAGATACATGATTATGTTCTAGAGAAAAGTTGTAGAGCTTAATAATGCCTACAAAAAAGTCAGCGACAGCATATGTCTAACTTTTATATTTAAGTCACAAAAAGTAGTTTTTTATATTAAAAAAATAATTTAAATCGGTAGGTCATGTTTATTGGTCATATTATCAACAATTATGAATTCTTATCAAAATAAATAAATTTATCGTCTAAAATGTTTAAAACAAAAGACTTTTCCCTTTTACTGCATATAATTTGGACAAATGGTTAAAGAGATAATACAACATATTCGTAGGTATGGACGAACCCGAGCGAGCTGTTTGTCTGTTTTCCTGTTTGTACGGGCTAATCTCCGAATCTATTGGACCGATTTAAATGAAATTTTGGATGATGGTACCTTATATCCCTGGCCAACATCTTAGATACTTTTCATCCCGGAAAATTAAATAGTTCCCGTGGGATAGTTAAAACACTATAACAACTTATACAGCTTAGTACACAAAAACTACTGATTGGATTTTAATAAAACTTTAAAATAATATAGTTCATACATGACAATAACAAATCGGCTACTTTTAAATCCCAGAAAATTAAAGGGTTCCCGTGGGATAGTCAAAAAACTATAGTAACTTATACAGCTTAGTACACAAAACTACTAATTGGATTTTGATGAAACTTTACAATAATATAGTTCATACATCAGAATAACAAATAGGTCACTTTTTATCCAGGAAAAATATACAGTTCCCGTGGGATAGTTGTTTTTGTTTATTTGTAACGTATTATGTACACAACATAGACCCCAAAACAATAGTTATTAAAAAAAATGTCTGTTTGTCTGTTTGCCTATATGTCTATTTGTCTGTTTTTGTATGCGCGTTTCACGGGAAGATACAATAACTGGTTTTATCGAGTCCTCCCTAGAAACCTTCCGCTGGCTTAACCTTAAGACATACATACATCAAAACAATATACTAAAAAATTGTAGGCCTTGAAAAGTCCTACAGGAAAGTTCTAAATAGTATATGTATATCTCCTAAGCAATATCTATTCTTATCTATACCTATAATAAAACTAACTTAGTCAAATCGATGTGCGAGTTTTACGCAAAAAGTACTGAACGAATTTTAACTAAATTTTGTATAGTGATAAATTAGTACTCGGGTCAACATTTAGGATACCTTTTACGACAGGCAAATTATTCATTCCCACGGGAAAACTCAATAACTGGTTCTATCGAATCGTCCTTAGAAATTTATATGGCTAACGTTTGCTCAACCCTAAGATATAGATGAAAACATTGTGCAAGAAAATTGTAAGTCTTAAAAAGGTCTATAGAAAAGTTCTACTTATTATATGTCTATCTCCTAAGGTACACTCGCTATAACTATTTTTATTATTATATATTACTTTTTTATTATACGTTATTTATCTATACGCAATAAAACTGTAGAGGTTAGAAAAAATGCTAAAAATCGAGTCAGTTCTCTTCTTACATCCCGAAAGAAGAGAAATAGAACAAATCCAGTTTTTTTTCAATTTTTTTGTTTCTCTGTCTGTTTGTCTGTTTGTACGGGCTAATCTCCGAAACTATTGAAATGATTTAAATGAAATTTTGCATGGTAGTACCTTATATCTCCGGTCAACATCTAAGATACTTTTCATTCCAGAAAATTAAAGAGCTTATACAGTTTAGTACACAACAACTTATGCACCTAACTTAGTAAAATTTGGCATGCTGATACCTTATATTGCCGGTCAAACAATAGGTTTCTTTTCATCCCGGAAAAATGAACGGTTCCCGTAGGATAGATCTGTTTGTGCTTTTCTAGAGGTGAACCCGAGCGAAGCGAGGGTGAGCCGCTAGTTATAAAAATAAAAAAACCGACTGCATAAAAGCTAACTAAAAAGATGAAAACTAGTTGACGATGGAATAAAGTAAGCAGGCAAGGATGAAACGATTTGAATTTAAAAATGTTTTTATAATTTATTTTTTTAGAAATAAATTGCAATGTTTTTTTATTATACATTTATTATAGATCGATCGACCGATTGATCGATCGATTGATTGTTTGTTTGTTTGAACGTGCTAATGACAGGAACTACTAATACGATTTGAAAAATTATTTTGCATCAGATAGCCCGTTTATTTAGGAAGACTATAGGCTCGTAATATATCATATAATATATAGACTATCTAATCCATTCTAGCCATTAAAACGTACCTAGGGACTCCAGCGAAGCGACGGTGAGCCGCTAGTAAATAATAAATAAATAGGCTAATAAACTTGTACTTGCATAGATTAGCAGGTTTTATTTCTTCGGTAAGGTATATATCAACGATTGCATTTATAGTTACTTCAGTCACCCAAATATTAAATTTAGAAAGTTTGGAATGCATTGTAAGATCACCTTGGAATGTACGATCAAAAGCTCTTCTGTTTTCCGCACATCAAATAAGTCAAACAAAAGTAATTTAGTTTAATATTTGAAATAAAGATGTTTTTTTTTCTCTTTTTATTTTACTAAGATTTAGTACACATATAAATATTTTAAATCAAATATTTAAATTATTTAAAACATGGTGTAAAACAACATAAGTAAGTATATCGTGACAATTGGTCTGCTTGGAATTAGGTAATATAAAACTTATTTAGACAGTCAGAAGCATGCTCTCTACACAAAGCAAACACGTTCTACTAAGAGAATCCGGATCGAATTTGCATATTACCACGAATCCCTGGCTAGAAATGTAACTGGGTCATTAAAATCTGTATCTAACGACAGCAATCCATCTGTGTCTATCGTCCCTCCATCACTAATCGATCGATGTTTATAACAAAAAAAATATATTCTAACCGTCAAACTAGACGAATCTAATACAAATTAACGGATATTTTTACTATTTACGTAACTGTACTCTACATTCGCATTCTAATATGACCTATAATAAGTCATGAAAACTATTGAAAAACACAAGTAATAAAATTTTAATAACCTCCTTTCATGCAGTAATAGTACCTTAGAGGTAATTTTATCCGTTTAGTGTATACCGATAATAGTTTATCCCTAAAAGTCACTGATGTCTATAGTGATCATCAATTTTTAATTGCCAATTTGTAATAAAAGGCTAAACCTAAGCTTTTTAATTCTAATTAAATTAAAATACCATTTGTCGAGTTCTTTACTGCAGGAAATTAATATCCTCTCACAGAGCAAATTCACAACAGCAAATCGCCTGGTGTTAGAAATATTGTCTTCGCTTTTTGGGTTCATGTAATAAAATTAATCAATTGGTAATATTTAAAACAAAATAGTATTTATGCTTATTATTTTTAGAATAAATTAATACTTTTGAATGCGATTAAAAATTTCAGGAATTAAATATACATTGACTTATCCATGGATGGAAAAGCAATATCTTTATAGAAGCATTTTTAAAAGGCCGAGATTTTATTTCTTAAACAATTGATAGTTAACTATCAATAGTTTAAGAAAATAAATATTAATACTTTAAAAAAGTTAAAAGATAAGTATTAAGCCAAAGTATATCTCACATGACTCAAAAAATATTTTTATCAGAAAAAGCTTTTTTGACGTATAATGTAACAGGGCTTTAATGAAAATAACCGATCTACTGGCTATTTGTACCTGTCGAGAGCAGATTCCAGCAAAAAATTCAGGTAATGAGGGAACGCGCCGTCGTTATGATAAGGCGACCCCATCTGAATATTTCAACGAATAAGTTTGAGGGGAAACAATCATTCTTTTTTTGGACAACAGCTCTTTGTGAAAATCATATTTGCATCATTTTTTGAGAGGACGCAAAATACTTTACGTTATCCTTACTAATTCACCTGTATTTACAAAAGCGTGTTTTTCTATACATAGAAAAAAAATGCTAAAAACCCATCAGGGGATGTAAGAAGAGACATAGAACAAATCCAGATTTTTTTCATTTTTTTTGTTCCTCTGTCTATTTGTATGGGCTAATCTCCAAAACTTTTAGACCATTTAAATGAAATTTTGCATGGTGGTATCTTATATCCCCGATCAACATGTTAGATACTTTTAATCTCGGAAAATTAAAGAGTTCCCGTGTGATAGTTAAAAAACTATAGTAACTTATACAGCTTACTTAGTACACAAAAACTACTGATTAGATTCTAATAAAACTTTATGATAATATAGTTCATACATTAGAATAATAAATAGGCCACTTTTTATCCCGGAAAAATGTAATATTGTTTCCGTGGGATAGATTTGTCTTTGTTTGTCTAGAGCCGCTAGTGTTAACTAAACTGATATTTTTTTCTGAATTCAATTGAAGTTATTAAGATTTCAGTAATCAGTAATTACATTTTAATTAGAATAAAAAAATAGCCTATATCACTTGGTGATATACATTACCTTTCTATTAGTGAAAGAATCTCTAGTATAGGACTTAAGTTTAAATTACTCCAAAAATCCTACCCCTAGGTACTTATTCATTAACTTATAAACATCTCTTCGTAATATTAGTATGTACATATATTGTTACCCGACTGCGCGACGCAAAGGAGGGTAATGTGTTTATCGGTCTATGTATATAATATGTTTGTTCCTATATGGCATTCTAGAGACCAAGTGCGTGGGCAAGCGGAAAATTGAAAAAATAAAATAAAAAGAAAAAACTATGATAGATCCTTTTAGAAATATGACTTAAATTTTAAAAATAACCCTTTAATCTACTGTGCATCCATTAAATGCAAGGATATCGATGATAAAAAAGAGCAGGATCCTTTTGTTATTGAAAGTCGAATATCTCAGGAAAAAATCGGCGTAAAGAATTTAGTAAAAAAGATTTGTTCATTTTTTTTCATTTTTTTATGATTTTTTAACAAAACTTTGACTAAATTTTATAAATATCTACTTATTTTTTTAATATATTTTTAACTAATAAATAAACAATGATGTTCGATGTTCTCCTAGCCGATTCCGGCCACGGCGGCCAATCTCAATGAGATTAGCCAACTGCGCAGGAGATATTATAGTGCTCAAGTGTACGCGCAGACACAAGTGCACTCTCTATTCCTATCACTCTCATACTCCGGTGGGACGACCACTCGACACGACCGGTGAGAGTTAAGGCGCAGGACCGACGGCTTTACGTGCTCTCCGAGGCACGGGGGTGAAACACCGCCAACTTCCCAACTCCGGGCTGTTACTGAGACTTACTATAAAGGAAGACTCAATAACTAAACTTGGCCCGACCCGGGACTCGAACCCAGGACCTCCGGGTGTGCAGCCGTACATGCTAGCCACTACACCACCGAGGCAGTTAAATAAACAATATTAGAGTATAAATGAATTTCATTTCTTTATGTAATAAGCTTAAAATCAATTTTTTCTCAAAAATCAATAAAATGAACTCCAGAATCGATCAAAAACTAATAAAATATCGATATATTCGAAAAAATTACAACGTAAATAGATTCTACGGTAAAAAAATACAAAACCACTGGTGTATTTTACGTGAATTCCAACTTTTCTTATTTTTTCACGACTCATCAAATTGAAAAGTTGAAATGTTTACGCCGACATTGTATAAATAATAAGTGTCAAATTAAAAACTTAAGGACACTATATTTTTCGTTTTTTTCCTGAAAAATATATTGGTGTAATTGGCTTATAAAAATTTGGTCAATAAAGTGCACTTCTTCAATGATAATTGAAAAAAAATGTAGTTTACAAAGTAAAAATTATCGATTTCTCCAATTTTTAAAAATTTACGGGTTTTTTTACAAGATGACCATACAATGATTTTATATTTTCAAAAAGTAGAGTTCAAGACGAAAAGAATGAGCCCTATCTGAAAATTGAACGAAAATATTTTTCAATGTAAACGCCCACTTGAAGTTGGGGTTGATTTTCAGCCTATCGAGACCAAAAAACATACTTTTTTTCGGAAATGGCTACACATTTCAATTTCTTTTTTTTTTAATTTATTATATGTATTTTGAAAATAACATTCCCTAAGTTTAATGGAAATCGAAATCTGTAACCGCATCACGGAAAAACCACTAGAGGGATTTTGATGAAATTTGGTATGATGATAGCTGGTTATCCGGGTCAACATACAGGATACTTGTTACCGCGGGGAAATGTCTCATTTCTGAGAAAAAATACAAAAACTGCAATGTAAGAATATACTAACATGTAGAACCTAAGAATTTGCTTTTTGTATATATATATATATATATATATATATATATATATATATATATATATATATATATATATATTCTTATCTGTAATTTTATTTACCTAAGTCTAGCAACCCCAGTAAACAGTTTTAAATATCCTGTGTCATGTAGACAATGACAGATGGGCAGCTGTTATTTAAATTTTGTTATTTGTCACGCATTCATTTTTCTTTCGTTATTTAGTTTTATTAAAACTACAAACAACAAATTTTGTAAAGTGTTACATTATTAAAAACATTTAAAAAAATAATGTCCAAAAACGATATTTTGTACGTAAAAGGAATGAATCTTGTAAGCATTGTGTATATTTTCACGATTAATATTTTATTCTAAGGTTACTGTTGCTATTTTTAAAATCAATGTTTATTTTCAAATTTTTTACATTATCAGATACTTGAATTTTGAACGTCTTTAAGTTTGAAATATTTTTATTGATTATTTTAAATATAATATATGTTTGCCTGTTTTGTTTAGAGGACACAAAAGTATGAGTAAAATTTTCTTATATATATTTCAGTCTGAATCAGAGCAAGATGATGAAGAGGAAGACATCTGGGATGACAGTAAGCTCAATGACGCATATGACAAAGCTTTAAGGATAGCTAATGCAGAAGTAGCTAAGAGAGTTGCTATGTCAACCAACACATCATCCAAAGATGGAAATGGTAATTTACATTAAAATACTTAATTTGATTTTAATGTCAGAAATATATTTCACAAATTGTTCACTCTGATGTTTGCTAAAAATGTTTGTTATATTCAAATCAAAGAAATATTTTGGTGCATATTACCCTAAAACTAGTTGATAGACTGAATATAATAAAGATTATTTGAGAAAAATTTAATGAAATGACAAATTTTACATGTTTCATTTGCTTGTTTCGTATATTAATAATAAACACATTTTAAGAGCAATTTAGAGAGTCATATATTTTTATTATGGCTAAAATATTAATATAAAATATAGTCTCATGGAAACCACATTATATTTAGTCTATTACTTAAAAGGATAGATATTATAGAAAAAATTACAGATATGAAGTTAAAATCCCAATCAAATACCAAATCTTCACATAAGAAAGATAAAACCCAATGGAAAGCTGGTATGCACTGTCGGGCACTATATGATGGGGATGGGATCGAATATGAGGCATTATTGCTAAGGGTTATAAATGATAAAGAATGTGTTGTTAGATTTCTAGGTAAGATATCTTTACTAAAGTAATAATTTTATTTTATAGCTTGTGTGTTTTTGTGTTAGATTTTTTCTTTCAAAAAACAAAAAGTAAGCCATACTAGTTTTATCTAAGATTCCCAAGTTTGTATTAAGGTAGGGTAATGAAGTATGGTGCATTATAGACACACATGTATGCATGTAGCATAGTCTATAAATAGTGTTTTTCTTATATTGGTGTATTGATTTGCCCTTCTTTCTTACAATAATCTATACATATAATAAAATTGTAACTAAGCCGAATCTGTACATGAAATATTTTTTGCAAAATCTTATTGAAATAGACATTATTAGAGATACAGAGGACGAATCTATAGTTTTTAGAACTTTTGTCTGTCTCCTGTCTGTCTGTCTGTTACCTCATGACAGAATAACCACTGGAGGGATTTTGATGAAATATGGTATCGTGATAGCTAAAATATCTCATTTCTGAGAAAAATACAAAAGCTGCAATGTAAGAGGATACTAATATGTAAAACCCAAGTTTTATTTAAAATGTCAAATATTCGCATAAATCTAAGAAAGTATTATAAGAAAGTATTAAAACCTAAGAATTTGGTTTTTGGTCATTTGAGCAGGGCGGAGCCGCGGGCAAAGCTAATGTATAGATATTTTTTAATCTCCATATCACTACTCAGAAATTATAAATGAATTTAAATTTTCGATCAATTTTCATTTCCAGGATATGAAAATTCAGAAATAGTGTCGATTTCTTACCTCAAACCATCGTTAGGTAAAAGTGAGAGGACAAAGCAAATAGAAGAAGCTTTAGCCGATAGAATGAGTGATAAGAATTCAAATAACTTATCCAATGTTGAAAATATGGAATGTAGCGATAGACCACTGAGTCCTGGAAGTACAGGTAAATTATTATAATAAACTTTTATTTCTTTGCATAATTCATAATATGTGTATTCTTGGTTTACCCGTAGGGTCTCATCAGAAGGAAAGAAAATTTAGTTCTAATAAACACAATATCATCATGCTACTACCCAAGGGAGCAGAGCAGTAATCATAAATGTCAAAAAATTTAACATCAGACAATCAGATTTCCATACATTATTGTAAAACAATATACATACTAGTGACTCACCCTCGTTTTTTTTTATAGATTGAACGCGGGCGAAGCCGCGGGTTCTGCTAGTATTAAATAATAATTATATTACGTTCAATATTTTAAAATGTGTTTATTAAAACGTTTTAGTAATGTATATAAGTATTATAACTTTTCAGTGTCATTTCAAAAAAAAAAGAAAAAGGGAAAGAAGAAAAGCAAGCAGAAACCAATGAATGGCTTTGATTTCCCTGAGATGCCAATGCCTGATTTAGCTCAATTAAGGAATGTAAGTATTTTTCTATAGTCCTTACTAATGTGTAAGTTAAGTGGAAATAAGTGATTCTAAGTTTTAATCTATACATACGAGTATAATAAAAGTGTAATTGATCGCTATCTGTTCATGGAAGATATTTGAGCAAAACTATTATTGGTGGTCTTTATTAACCCAATAGAAAAAACCTACAACAACGATTTTTAGAATTTTTGTCTCTGTAGTGTCTTGGGTGTGGTGTTCACTAGTGTATTTTGGTAAGCTTCATTTAACATTTGTTTTATTTCAATTCGTTCATAAATAACAACTTTTGTCAATTTAAAGAATCGCTAGATTGAGTCGCTAGTTTTAAATAAAACATTTCGTAAATCAATTCCTTAACCAAATACCACCGATAACTTCAAGTAAAATTGTATAAACATATCGAACTATTTATTATAAAAGGGGAAGTTTGTATGTGTGTCTGGGTGGTTTTTGCTTTAACATTTTGCTTTATTTTACAGTCCATTTTTATAATCCGTATTAATATTATAAATGTGTAAGTTTGTGAGTATGTATGGATGTTGTTTGCCACTCTTTCACGCCAGAATGGCTGAACGGATCTGGCCATAATTTGGCACAGAGATAGATTATAGTCTGGAATTACACATAGGCTACTTTTTATCCCGGAAAAATGTACGGTTCCTGTGGGATACGTTTGTGTTTGTTTTCCTAGAGATGAACCCGAGCGAAGCGAGTGTGAGCCGCTCATAGATTAATTTCCTCCATGTTTCAGCTTGGTGCAATAGAAATGCCGATCCCACCACCGCCATTGGGTCTTCGCAGTGGAGCAGACAATGAGGAACAAGCCGTCTCATCAATGTTGATAAGCTGGTACATGAGCGGGTACTACACTGGGTTGTATCAAGGGATGAAACGGTAATATTATTTATATTTATTATTTATATTTTACACACAAATAACACTACTCTACAAACGCACTACTCTAAAAAGTGAAAAAATTCAACTGGTATGGCTGCAGGTGGATCGTTACCTTTGAAGGTTCCTTCCTAGGTTTGAATTAGAAAGTAAAAAAAAATTGATTTGAAAAATGATTTCGAGATACATCAAAGGTGTTTTTTTTTTGAAAAAAATATATGAAAAATACCCCATTGATTAATATATAGATAAAGTTTAAAACCAAAAAAAAGTTTTTTTTAATTAAAAAAAAAGTTTCTAAGAAGGTTTAGTCATGTAAATTAATAATTTTCTAAGGACGATTTCACGGAACTATTTATTGCGTAGAAATAAAAGATTTTCCTAATAAGTTATCACTACGACAAATCACATAATACTATACTAGTACAGATGCCTCATCTCATACAAAGGAATTGGACAGCGCTAATTCGGGCTATTCTTCTGGCTATTATTGTTTGCTTGAATAGTTAATAGATATCGTTGATTCGCAAATAGTTTACTGTTTTATTTTATAAATATGTGCAAACTAATGAGAGGTAAATATTGTAAAATTCATTCTGCGTTCGAATAAAAAAAACAGCGATTTTAACAATTTTCAATCGTGATAAACAATTCATAAAAAGTAAAAGCGCCATCTGTGAATATACACTACAAAAGCATCATCTAACTGCTGATATTTCAGAAATTTATTTAGATTTACGGGCGCATTATTTGGTTTTCCTTTACTTAAAATATTTTTTAAAACAATAGTTCACCTTTTGTTAATTTAACACAACTTTAAGTCTTATATAACAAATCGAGCTATGTAACGTCATCTATTGACATTTATTTGAACCTTTTTTTTTCTTCATGATACTACACAAAACTTGTCTTGTAAAAAAATTAAAGCAGTATTTTATTTTTATTTACTTTATTCTTTGCAGGGCAAATGTGGGACGCAGGAGCAATTAGAAAAAAAATACAATCTGTTTTTAAATAAGTTTTATTTTTAAGTCACATAACATAAACTAAATAAAAATAGAAAATGCTGTTATCAATTAAAAATAAATTAAATTATGCCTCCAGATGTCTGTTTAAACTATGTACAAAATATACATTTTGATACGTTGATTTGATTTTTTTTATTTATCCGATTGGTGGGTTATAAGTAATAGACTGCAACATGGACATGGTCAACTGAAATTTTGCTTAAAAATTATATATGAATTAAAGCTATATAAAAACTTTAAAAACATAGATGGTATTGCATCTCTAACTAACTCCTGATTAATTTTCGTTTTCTAGACATAGTTTTATAGTCAGATTTTATTGTGTCGATGCTAGTTACCGTAAAGTATGGAGATTAATGAGAAGGAGAACCATCTCTATGTATGAAAAATGTCTGTCAAAATGCGTTTAATTAGAATGGCGCCACAATAACAGCAGGGTAAATTTTGAAAAAAAGCGCCAGGTCATTAGAGTAGGATTACATTATCTCACAGCAGTTTGTTAGGATATATTTAGTAACTTATTTTAGACTAAATAAATAGATGAGGTTACGCATACTGCAGTTTCATTAACAACTCGTCAACCAAAAATACTACACATTTAAACTCGGCACACTTCACTTCGTCTACAACTGCTAAATTCATACCATAACCTGTATCTACGCTAGCGCCATTTTGAAAGATGTTTTTATCTGTAATTTACCGCTTTTAGGTGGGCACTTTATCATCTAGTCTCGCATATAAGATGGTTCGCCTTATCTATACCCTCCATATTCATAAAGATAATTTTGCTTTTAAAAACTTTATTTCACGTACGACTTGGTTGACGTTAGTACAGAATAATATTGACATAACCAAATCCATGTTAGACCATGTCCACATAAAATTTATATAAATTATTAATTATCTTCATAAAAATAGTATACTTTAAAGAAATGGTACGCATTAGTAACATCAAAACAATATGCATATTGATATCAAATATTTTTTAAATTAATTGGAATGAAAAATTTGGATGTTATCTCAAAAAAGGCAGTATGTTTGAAGTAGTTCTATTTAAAAAAAATGTTTGCAACCGTTGATATATAAAAACAAAGATACACATTTTCTAATTTTGTCATCCGAAAAGCAATGAACAAAAGAAATCGATAACGGCGCAATTCAATTTTAGAATTGTGCACTTCTTTTTTAAGGACACTTGAGATGCTAATTGTATAGCTTTAGTTTTTGTATATCAAAGTTTCCAACTGATTTCTGCCACAGTATACTATTTCAATGATTTTTTTCGATGGGTTTTGACCACAATTTGCCTAAAGATATGAATATATTTTCAGTTAAAATATTTGTAATGACTTGTTGTCTCCATCGATAAGCTAATGTTTTCTTTAGAACCTAAAATTTTATTGATCTATTTAATTTATTCATTGACATACAGAGGATTTCATTTCACGGATAGTTACCGCTTAATATCTTTAGGCAAAAACAAATTTTATTTAATGAATAGGACCTGAGCAAAAATTTATGAAGCCACATGTCTCAGAATATTAAAATATCTTAAATAAATTGTAATTTGTACAAAACTAAATAATAAATTGCTAATTTGAAAAAAATGAGCCAGTAATTATTTAGCTATTTTAATTTTCTATTATGTAAGTGTTTTTTTTATATATAATAATAATTGTGTGGTTCAAATTAAGTTTTTGTTTTTTTTAAATAACAAAAACATCGATATAAATTCTTTTCAAAATTAGCAATTTATCACTATTAACTGAATTTATTTTGATAATAGACCAGATAGATATTCGTAAATAAAATAAAATATTTCAACTTAAATTAATAAAACATGGCAAAGGAATCTTATAAATTAAACGAAATCAGAACAATATTTACATTAAATACCACAATTTACAGATAACAAAAAAGATCCATTGATACAATAAGGACACGCCTTACAAATGTAAAAAATCGTCTACTCTAAAATGTATTATTTATATTCTCCGTTTAGGGATATAGCATGAAAATAATACGTAAAATTATACGTAATCAAACATTATATATATGAAAAGACTTTTTCATTATGCATCAATGGTTTACAGATATAGGTCTTTTTATTATATATTATTGAAAATGCCTCAAAAATCAAAAACATAATAGAAATAAATTATGAAGTTAAGTGAATAATCAATTAACTGAAATTTATAATTATTATGGCGCGACTTATTCATATTTGAATTGGCAATTATTTATAACTCAGTATTAATGTATATATTAAAAATTTATACAAACGCAAAAGCATTCGATGAAACTATATTTGCGTTTACGATTTATTTCTTAGCAAGAAAACAGGTTAACCTTGCGAGTTTTTTATAGAAAAAATCCTAAACATATAATTCGTTGATACCTATTAGTGACAGTTAACGTAGGTATTAAAAGTTAATATTTATGAGTATTTTAATTGTTAATTTTTAAATTGTAATAAAAACGAGTCAGAATTTTCTTATTATTTTAAATAAAATAAAGGACAATAAAAAATAAATGGCATATCCATACGTCCTGACTCCTGTATTTTTTTTATTTAATATTCTGTTAACCTCTATGACTGCCATGTACTGTCACTAATTGTCGGCCCCAAAGTTAAAACCAACTGTTTATTTTAAAGTTAACCGTTCCATATTATATATATATATCAATTTTAATTTTTATCTATATTTTTATAATAATTGATTTCCTAAGGCACAAAGCTAATACCAATCATACTTGTTTAATCTGTGCCAATCACGTTGAGATAAGAAAACGAAATTAGAATTTTATTATTTTTCTTACAACGGCCAATTTACTTCTTTAAAAATTCAAGTATCGTTCGATTACATAATAATATGTACAATGTACATATATTTTCGTAAAAGGCAGTTACATGGCATACAAGCGTGACAAGTCAATTTGTATGAATTTACAAAATTAATTATATTTTATTCTATGTTAAATATACCCAGGATATTGAATAAATAGACAAATACGCATAAAACGGGTCATATTTACTGGCTTGATTTGATTTACAAATTGCAAACGAGGTAAAAATCGTAACACATCCTTATGTTAAATGACAGGATATTGCGAATACCAAATTGCTTTATGTTTTTCTTGCAAAACAACGCATAAAAACGAGGTTTAACGTTATTTTAGCCTATTATTGCAAAATATTAAATTAAATGTATTAAATATTCCATTCATAAACACAGCATATTTTAATTTTCTTTTATTTTTTTAAATTTAAAAATTGTTTTTTTTTTAATTTTAATTTTGAGATTGATTTATGGCTCTTTGTCGAGTTCTGTTGATAATATAATCGTTTTGACCATGCCTATAAATGTCAAAGATTTAGGTATATCTTTAGATTTGTCTTCATCGTAACGACTTAGATTGCGCTTTAAAATGTTCATACTCGAGATGAGAGTTTTCTTATACTTAATTTAGAGATATAAATCTTTTATAAATGTATAATCTGTGGTCTTTACGGAGTATACGATCGGTTTTTAGTGCCAATTAAGTTAGTGCTTTTAAGTTTCGTACTAATCATAAGAGTCCACACGCAAGAGGATCAAAAGGACGTAAGGAGACCATGGTCGCAGCGACCAATTATATCGTGGCCGTTAATTAATAACATAGATAATGGAAATAGTTGGTTGCTGGCGAACACAGTCCCGGTAACCTAGTGTCCATGGCCTAAGGACCTATGCACACTACGTTTCATAAACGCGCTGACGACGCATATATCAAAAAACAAGTCAATCTCAAAAAAGCACACGTCACATCAAAAAAACGTCGTAATCTATTCAATTTATTAGCACAGTATATGCGCAGGCATATACTGCGCTAATAAATTAAATAGATTGAAAAAAAGATTCGTATCGATACAAACGCGTAATGAACGCGCGTCGACAGTGCTTCAAAAAGTCGTAATGTGTATAAGTGTATAAACCCTAAGGTAGGTATTAGGTAAGTTATTCTTATTACATTGTAGTTAAGGTGCGGTCACACCAGCGTGCTCAGTTCGTGCGCGTCGTGGCTGAGGTCGACGGTGGCGGCCGGCACTCCCGCCGCAGCCTCAGCAGTACCGCCGGGCGGCGTACTTGTTGGTGGCCTGGAAATATATAAAATATTATAAATATTTATATACTAACGACTTATTCTCGCTTTGCTCGGGTGACTCTACTGTAATCCCAACAATAATCTATGTATTACTCCAGGATTAAATCATAGCTATTTCAGCGTGAAGTAGTAACAAACAAACACACAAACAAACTTTTGAATTAATAATAGTAGTCCAATAATAATAAGAATATAGGTAAAAAATAGGTACTTTGCGTCAATTGTTGTCTTTATTCTTTATATATAAAATGTTACTGTATTTTTTACATATTACTTATAATGGTTATTATGTATAGTATCAAAGATCAATAAATCGTTTAAAATATATTAATTATTAAAAAATATTAATATCATATTAATAAAATCTTAAAAATAGCGTACTGATTGTCACTGAGGGATAGTGGACACACGCGAGAATATTAGCTACTTCTAGTTCCGAAAAAGCGTGTACGCTAAAGAATACAAAAAATCGATAGAAAATCGAAGTCGCTACGACCACTAGACCACTTTGATTTGTCAATAACAAAAGCTAAAATAGTATTTTATATAACTCCTATAATATTATTGATAATATTAATAATACACTTTTTTGTACACCAGAATTATATACTAATTTAAAACACACTTATCTCTACACTCACTAACTACTATGTTATATTATATTTATATTATATTATATACAACATTAACTACCCACATCGATAAACACTCGAATAAAGCATCTACGACAAGTGTTCTTGTAAATCACATTTACTCTGATATTAAATACAAGGGATACATAACAAAAAAAAAATGAATTTCTGTCAAATAACTGGTTATGGATGCAAACGTGTGTAAAATCTTAAAAATAGTTCTAAAGGCTCATCTGAATCCTCTACGTACTAGTGACTCTCATTCATAGTCAGTCAGTTAGTAGTAATACGTAATTCGTTAATCCGTTTGAAAGGTAAGTGGATACAAACAAACAGTCATTTTTATAAATTGTTTGCGGTTTGGTATTCATTGTGGAAATAACATTAGCTCAATATGGTGTAGTTCACAAAGTGTTTGTCTAACATATAAAGAGATAATTTATTTGGCATTCATAGAAGTATAGTTTAACATTTTTATATAAATATAATCTGTTATAACTTTAACTTCATGTTATATACTCTATAATTATACCTATTTGTATATTCTCAACCAGTAACGGACATATATCATATCATATCATACCCTTTACCAATGAGTTACAAGATAGAACATCCTTAAGGATGAAAACTTTTCTAGTCAAATAAAATTAAAGAAAAATCTTTACATAAATAGATAAATCTGTTAAAGTAACATATTATCCAAAATTAATTCACTCACCTAATAATATATGGGCCACCTTGTTGCAGAAGCGTTATTGGATGCGTAAACGGCGCGGGCGCACCTGTCATGCTATGAAAACTTAAATTCCCTCCCGTATTATTCAAATGTCCATTCATTATCACACCATTCGAAGTATTCATGTTACTTGTGTTTAAGTCTTGAGTACGAAATGCTTTAACTAAGTTTGTCTTCTCCTTTTGCCAAACAAAGACATTGTGAACCATAGCGCAGCCGCAAAAAACGATGCCAACGCCAATAAATACTGATGTAACGATCGCTGGGGTTGAATGAAACTGGATAAATGTGTACAGGATAATACCTGAAATAAAAAAAAATGATATGAAATTACATACATGTGACTTCAATTGACGTACTTACATCTATACTAATATTATAAAGAGGTAAAGTTTGTGAGTTTGTGACGTTGCAGGGGGTAATCTCTGGATCTACTGAATCGATTTAGATGAAATTTGGAAAGAAGATAGTTTGACACCCTGGGAAGGACATAGGATACTTTTTGGCCCGGAAATCATCTCTTAACCCCTTGCAAACTTCCTTTGCTAGGGGGATAAACGTTTGTATTGGTAAGCAAGCTAGGGACGAACCGGACGAAACGAGGATGTGCCGCTAGTATGTTTATAAAATGACAATATCTCGGTGTCTCTCGTTTTAAAATTAATACTTTACTTAAAATGTTCTTTAAATATTAGTAGGTACATATCTCAATCGAAAAAATAAATATCAGGTCTTCACAAATTCGAAAGGAATGAAATAAAAAAGCATATGAGGGGCATTCCTTTCAAATAACATTTAAAAGTACCAATCAAATTATTTTATCATTTTTAAATTGAATGCAAATGGGATTCTCGTGTGGAATGCGCTTCCATATCTCTCAAATAACAGCTGCCCGCTCAAGTTCATACATGTCGAAGTCGATACATATATAGCCTCCATTCACATACAGACCAGTCCGGAGACTTGATCTATGATCAATCGCGTTATGACTGAGTATCCGCGTAGGTCTAAGGGTCTATACACACGACGATTTTTTAACGCATTATAGACGTATTTGGACGTGCGTATTTATACAAATACAAATATTCTATTTTTTAATATTTATCAGTGCAATATGCGCAGACAATATATTATGTACATTCATAGTACGCGCGTCGTTGGAGCGTTTATAAAACCTGGTGTGCGTAGGCCCTAAGTTGGATTTGCGAGACTTACATTGGCCTGTCTAGACTGACTAAGAATACGAGTGACTCTAACTAGTCTGTCTAACTCTAAGTCTAATCGTGTCTGATTTAAATTAAACTAAAACAAAAATATTTCTAAAATCTACAATACCTACTGGCCAAAAGCCTAAACAATTTTGTTTGTTAGTCTACTTAATATTCTAATGCGTGACATTATTATCGTACAAAATGTCATTGTGAGTTTATAATATTTTTACACATTGCAACCTTGACTTTCAAACGAGATACATTACAGGTAAGTTTACTGTTCCAACAATAAATACATAATTTAAATGACATGTTATTAGCAATTCTAAACAAACCATATTAAATTAGTTATCTATTTAAATTAATTGAAATTATATTTGAATTATTAGCACACGCATAATATTGGCGCGTCACGCGGAAATCATTATGATTGTATTTTTAAATTGTTTCCTTATATCTAGTTTATATTAAACTATACCTAATAGATTTTGCCTGCGGCTTACCGCCGCGTGGATAGAAGGCTTTGTCCGCCCCTATGAGGCAATTTATATAAGTATCATGTCCTGGTCACATTACATCAAAATCTGTTCAGCATCATATTTTTCTACGTGTGTAACGTATCAATAAGAACAATATGGAATACCAAGCTTTAGAATCCCCAAGCGCCCGTAAGAGACGACTAGACTGGGCAATTTTTATTGTTTTTTTTTTCATTCTAAAGAAAATCATGCTAAGTTATGCTTGAACGACAATTTTTACCAACGTGGTTGACCAAAAATCCCTAAGTGGAAAAAGAGAAAATTGAATAAGATATACCAATGTATATTAAATTTAAAGTGATAATTAACAACGAATAAATTAATCTGAACTCACCCGTTAAAAATACCGGAATTGAGATAAAAAAGCCTCCAACGGCGCAAACCCTTGTAATGGCCGACTTTTGCAAATATTTATTTGACCTGAAATGAAAAGTAAATCGTTAAAAATTGTTTTAGAACTTTGTTATGTTTATAAATTAGGTAAAGCCGATTAAAGCTTTAAAGAAAGCTTAATTAAGCTGTGCTTCAAAAAAGCTGGATTACATATAACTAACATCGAACTGATATTTCAAATATACATATTATGTCACTTTAAAGGCTTTTTATCGCGAAAACAAGAGAGACGGTTATGGGATACATTTTTTTTGGAACAGGATTTCGTTAAGAGGAATATCTATAGATAAAGCGTCAGATAAAATGTTATAAAATGTCTATAAAAAAAATTATATTATTATTATATTAAAAAAATCTGACTTGCATTAAAATATTTAAGTCCTACAGAAACTTCCCACGATTCAATACCTTCACCTCTACATATGGGTGATCTTTTTTAGTTTTAAGAGGAAGGTATAAAATGAATGATTGCAAGAAGTAATCGATTATATTATAATAAGTCGGGTCATATACGAACTCGTTTGAGCTCTTAACGGATCCGCACCTGTTCATCAAGTATTCGCAGGGTTGACCTAAATACCTTATCAAGAAATAACGAAATATCTTAATTTTATAAGGTTTTGGAAACCACTTTTCTTTTTTAATGATTTTTTGGTAATAAGAATTAACAAACCTTATTCTTACATTAGATTAGAGAACTATATATATTTTTTGTTTTAATACTTAAGAAATAAAACATTTAACACATATATTAAATTCAACGTGATTATTACTGAACTTATAATAGTGGTTTTCTGGAAAATGCATGTAAATTACTTTTTCGAAAGGTCGTTTTGTGTCGAAGTTTCTTGGAGATAAATTACATACTCACAACCCTAATTAGAATACCAATAAATGAAAATGTACACGATTCGCATGAGAGTAAACATGGTTAAAGACAGCTTAATTTGGTTTGATTATACTCATGCTGATACTTCGCTCTTATTATATTTGATTTTTAAATATGCAAGATGGCAACTAAAGGAAATGTAAAAGTTAATATACAGTCTATGGACATAATTTTAAAAATATTTGGCTAAATACCCAGAATGATAGTAGTTTCCTAATGAACTTAGTTACATGCATATTAATAATTAAATTTGAAAAACATAAATTTGCCTTTATATTTTTTTCCATTGCTTGTAAATGTTTATTTGGTTAAAGTATACTTTGATTTACTTTAAATGGTTCCGCACTTTATACGCGACCTGCGAATTTGAGTCACTTTTGACCAGTTTTGACGTAATTAGCATTTATTGTTTGACGTAATACAATCGCGCCAAGGTTTTATAGGAAATTAGAAGATAATATTTATGATCATTAACTAAAATGTTAGTACGATATTAAATAACTTTAAAAGTAATAATTCAAGAGGTTGGCTTTTTTCTTAAAATGTATAAGTATAAGATCGCCTTAAACCTTGAGGTATACCTACCCGTTTAGAAAACAATGTATTTTTTAAGCTTAACAATAATTGACCATATCGTTTAACCAAATTTAATATAAGTAAAAAAGCCCCTTTAAGTGTCAAATAAACCCAAAAACATCACGTATAGAGAGTTTTTCGTGTGTTTTGATTCAAATAATAAAAAACTAGTATAAACGAATTACGTTAGATTTGAAAAACATAGATTACTCTAATTTTGCACTTTATATAAATTGCGTAATATTTTAAACACTTCAATTAAATAATTAGTATAACAGTCTACTCGCAACAGTTATCAGCGAAGCGTGAACTGCATGTTTGAACCGTTGACAAATGCATATGGCGAATAACTGCCGTTTCGTAACGGATACATTACATATTTAAAATCTATACGTACTATTAAACTGTCACGGATTAAATGTTGTCGTTTAAAATTTTACCAACATCAAATAGGGGAGGTACTCAGTTCTTGAGTGATTTTTTTCTAAACGCAATGTTTTTGGGATTTATAAACCGATTTTAATGCTTCTTTTAAAAAAAATGTCCTCCTGACCGATTTCTCACCGAATCTCACTGAGCCAGTAGCCAGATGAGCAGAATATATTTTAATACACAAGTGTACGCGCAGGCACAAGTGCACTGTCTAATGTCTATTCCTTTTACTCTCAAAGTCCGATGGGACGATACTTCGACACGATCGTTGAGAGTTAGGGCGCAGGAGCTTTACGTGCTCTACGGAGTCAAACACCGCCAACTTCCCAACTCCGGGCCTTAGAATATCTTAGCAAAAAAAACCTCAATAATTAAACTTGGCCCGACCCGAGACTTGAACCTCAGGATCTGCAGCCACTAGTTTTGTCATGAGTGTCATATGAATTTCATTAAAAAAATTGAAATAAGCTTAAGCCTGGAATAAATCACAAAGGTTACTTTTGTCAAATTAAGGGCGAAAATTATAATAATAATAAATTCTTTGATGTTTGTTTTACATTTTAGCACCTACTATAATCTTGTTTTACTGTTTATATCTTGTTGAATCAGTTATAGTTATTTGTACATATAATATAATAGATCTGTAGGTCGGCTTAGTTTTAATAGGCTCACTTAGCGTAGGCAGAACTAGAAACTATGACTTTGAATTAGTATAGGAACTTGAGGTTGACCTTTATGATCCAGTGTGGCAAAAGTGGATGGGCATGAAATAAACAGAAGCAGAATAGAAGAAATGAAATAAAAGTACCACTTATCACTGCGTTTTCTATTTCTCTGCCTACTTAAATGTCTGTATTGTAGTAAAAACATAATAAAATAAAGATAAAAGTAAGTTACTGCTATTTATTTACGACTAGTGACTTACCCACGTATCGCTCGTGTGAATCCCTAAGCTTGAGTGTTTTAGGAACGAATAAAAGACAAACGTCCAAAGAAAAACCTTTTTTTGTGCTAGGAATCTTCGCAGAGTATACAAAATAAGTTTCATCACAATCGGAGTTTCAACACAATGGCTTAGGAATGCATAGGAGATAAACATACGAACATCAATTTTTATTTATATACATATATAGTAGATTAGTACTAAACTATATTGCACTAGAGTTAGACTATAACAATAAACGCGCAAGATTTAAACAAATAGTATTAGCGTTACATTTTATGTGTTCTAGTTAACTCTTGCCTACAGGCTGCAACTTTTAACGTGAAAATATTTAAGTAATATATGTACTTATATATTATTACGTAGTGCCAAAACTTATTGCTAATATAAATAAAAAATTATAACTTTGTTAAAAACATTAGTAAAAATAAAAACAAACGTTTATTTGTCTTCCAAAACATTTTCTTTATAAAGAGATTACCTATTTTCTTCTTTTACTACTTTTACTTTTTTTTTTATTTTCTTCTTTTAAAACTGTTTGTTACTTATTACCATAATGCCCTGACCAATTTCGGTCACAGCGGTCGATCTGACTGAGTCTAGTCAATCCCGCGGGATTTATTATAATGGACAAGTGTGTCATGACGACTCAAGTGCATTTTCTGTTCCTTTAACTCTCATAGTCCGGTGAGATGGCCATTCGACACGACAGGTGAGGGATATAGCAGGACCGACAATTTCACGTGCTCCCCGAGAAACGGGGGATAAAGTACCAGGTATCGCCAACCTCCCAATACCGGGCTGCTACTATATACTAAGTAGAGACTGTAAAATCGAACTTCTAATTAGGCACATTGTAATGTAACCGATGCATTCGGGGACAATATAGCTTCATTTCTTCATTGCTATTTATATTCATATTTTCTTCTAAATTAAATCTTAAAAGTAAATAACTCTAACTATAAATCTATATAAAATTTCCCTTATTCTTTAAAAATTGTAAGCAACCAGCAGTGCAACATCGAGAATTAGAAGTAGCTTAAACAGCAAATAGCGCTACTATTATTGACTTTGACATTTATTTTGACATACTCCGTTTATATGTATGTACAAATCTTTAGTCTGAGATTATTCCTTAGTCATAAAAATCAACAAAATATAAAATAGCGAAAAACTAATACTTCTAGCGAATAAAATGTATTAAGTATTATTGTATAGTTCCGATACTCTATATATTTATAATTTATGTAGATTAATATTATATTACAATAAACAATTTAAATCTCTATGGATAAGATATATCTTATCAGTGCTTGTAGATATACATAAGTGAAATATAAATATGGCGGTGTTATATTTATAATTCAGTAGAGTCAGCTGACGTGACCGGTTTCTACGTATCTATCCACGAATTCCAAATAACAGGTACGTACATCACACCAAGTAATCGTAAGCATTCCTCGTTTGCGTTCGTAGGGTTTTATTTTCGGTTTTGTTATGGCGGGCAAAATGGCGGGAAGGGTTTTGGCGCCATTGCAACGTTCAGTAACTTGCACTTACATATATAATATTTATAGATCTACACTCTAGCGATAATATAAGATTTTTTATTAATGCTATTATATTTTCTAATAATATTTTTTTATATAATAATTACTATAAATAATTACTATTCAATATAAGTATTTATATATTAATATTTTCATTGTATTATGGCGTGAGGCTTTATTATAGGTATCTATTACATTCAAGAGTAAAATATTACAATAAAAATTTAAAACAATCTTATAATAATAAGCCATGTGAAAACTTCTAATTTTTTAAATCTAACGACTAAATTATTTTACATTCTGTTGGAACGAATTACTACTATCATTAATCCTACTTACATAAATTTATATAGCTATTCTATTCATTGTTTAATTTAATGTTTACATAAAACGATAAGGTTATTGTGCTTGATTTTGTGAAAGTAAATGAATTTCGTAATTGAATTTGTTCCGATTTTCCAAGCAGTTTACTATGTGAATGTGACCTAAAATACCATGAAATTTTATATCATCGTAAAAATAAATTACTTTGATGCTATTACATATCACTACTTACAATTCACAGTTTTATTTGTAATTTAAAAAAAATGATTCTTATTGCACAAATTCTTTTTCTTCTTACTGCATAATGTTAGTT